TAGACAAATGACATCTAGAGGGGGGGTGAATAGATGCACAAATTAAAATAGATGTCAAATTAAAAATTTATTTGTGAGTCAATAATTTGTTTGAATACAGATAAAGCGGAAGCGATAATATAATCATAAAAAGAGAAAGAGATAAGGGAAAAAGAAGAGCACACAGAGATTTATACTGGTTTGGGTATAGCCAACCCTACATCCAATTCCCAGTTAACTCTTAACACAAGAGTGACTCCCCATTCACTATCTTTCAAATTCAGTTTACAAATTATAATCAACTCAGCAGAAGAACCAGTAAAAAGTAAACTAATTAAAAAGACAATCACCTCCTTAGAAACCCACTAAGGATGAACACCTCCCTAGAATCCCACTAGGGATGAACACCTCCTCTGAACAAATCAAAGGATGAAAAACACCTCCTTAGAATCCCACTAAGGATGAACCCCTCCCTAGAATCACACTAGGGATGAAAAACACCTCCTTTTCCACTAATGCAAAAAGGATGAAGGTAATAAAATAAGAACAGACACACCTGGGTAATGGAGACAACAAATTGTAGAAGCTTGTAGAATGCCAATCTCCAAGAACAAATGTGATTAACAATGAAAGCACAGAAGACAGTAGAGAAAAGTGTTTTCTCAAAAGGTGTAAAATATCTCTGTTGCCTTGCTCAGAATTCTTTTCTCAGAACTGATTGAATGTAAATTGTATTTTCGAATTCTGTAATTGTGTTTTTTTTTTTATTTTTCATCAAAACTTAATTAAATAGAAAAATAGCATCAGAAAATGGTCGTTGGACATTAATAATATCATAGAGAAAATCAGGATGTATTCAAAAACATTTATTCTTTAAAACGGATATATTTTTCAAATTTTAATTGCCATAATTGATTATATTACCAGTATAATTAATTATGATAGAGAAAATCATTTTTTCATTTCTGGTGCATCATAATTAATTATGACAGTGAAAAATATCATGTTATGAATTTTATCACACTTATGCTTTGGAGGCTTATGCATAATATTACTTTATCAACTTGTACCTCCATATTCAGTATTCTAAGACTCTATCTAGTCTTCAGGAATCATCTTGGGCTTGCTTGAATCATCATCTTTATCAAAAACATATATTGGGCATGTAGGGAAATGTTTCACATTGTCACCTACGTCATAAATTCAGTTTGTCCTTAAATTCATCTTTGAATGGTGTTGACTTGAATGTAGTTGACTTGAATCATCATCAAAATCATCTCTTGAGAATGCATGAACATTTCCATCAATCTCCCCCTCATTGCTTTCACTAGAGACACCTCAATCAACAAATTGTATTACTGTTAACCAAAACTAATAGGTGATGACTTAATTATATATGATGTTATTGAAATATTTTATGATATTGATGTATCTAACATGATTACTTGGAAGTCATAATTTCCTTTAGATACTATCATTAAATTATATGTTAAATATACAAGATCCAATGATAAAATAATGATTCTTTTAAACCCTATGTTTCTACCTCTTCCGCAAACTAAAATAACATCCCTTCCTCTAAAGTTATAATTTACTTTGGTGGATTTGTCCAACGTGCAATCATCATGGAAAGTCCAAATGATTTTGGTCTTACTTATACATTTTTAAACCCTAGAAAAATGTTAATCCAACACATATTGTCTTTTACTGAACTATATGAAAACATTACTCAAGTACCTAATTATAGAAATCGCAAACAAATTACTGAAATCAACTACCATAGTCTAGTTTGAGTCCGAAAACAAAAGATTATTTATGACTCAGTACAAATTAAAATTGATGTTGATATGACCCAAATGATCAACCATTGGAAAAAATATAATCCTTACACCCAACCGTGTAATGTGAACAACCATGGGGAAAGATTGAATTATTTATTCAAGTCAAGACTATACGAAGGACACCACATGAGGAAATGATTCATGACTTAGAAGATAGTACATACACTCGACAAATATGGGATCATAAGGTCCACATTTGCCTCACGATTTAAAAGATGATTATTCACTTACCACTCATCATATTATTTCTAATTTAGTCGAATTTTATATTAATATACACGTTTAATTTATAATCTTTTCATATATTTCATATATTTAATACAATATATAATATATTTCATATATTTAATACGAGTATATAATATATTTCATATTCTTTAATTAAGTTTATCGTTATTTTAAAAATAAAAAAAATAAAATAAAATTAGTGATCGATATAAGGACCGTTTTGATTATATATTTGGTCATAAAATTGGTCACTAATTTGGTAATTGAATCGGTCACTGATTTGATCACTGATTCGGTCACTGAATCGGTCACAGATTCGGTCAGTGAATCAGTTACTGAATCGATCACTAATCTGTCACCAAGAAAATAGTGACCAATTCCAATTGGTCACTATTTCGATCACCATTTTAGTTAGTGACCGATTTTGGTCATTTAGTGACCGAATTTTTGATGACTATTTAGTGTTTTTCTTGTAATGATTTTACATTATGAATATATATATTTACAAATACAAAAATATTAAATATACAAATTATTAAATATATAAATATATGACTATATATTTATAAAATATATATAAATATATAATGAAATAAATATGTCTTTATTAAATATATAAATATATGTATTTATTAAATATCATATATTTATTAAATTTATATAAATATGTATTAATTAAATATATATAAATATAAAATATACATATATATATATATATATATTAAAATTTATATATATATATATATATATATATAATATTAATCTTGAAAAAAAAATTAAAAATAAGTCTATTTTGGTAAATAAAATATAATATTTGAATAATTAATTATTTTTTTAATATTATTTTGAAAAAAAATATAATTTATATTAAACAATTTAAATAATTTTTATTATATAATCTTATAATTTATTTGTATTTTTCTAATTTTTTACATCAAAGTTATTATTAAATAAATTAGTATTCAATGTCTTATATAACTTTATTTTTTTATTTATTATTCCTATAAATTATTATTTTTATCAATTTTTTCTTCTACTAATTTATATTAAATTAATATTTAAATATTATATATATATATATATATATATTAAATATATTGATATATTTGTATTTACTATATTTATAGAAATATATTAAACATATAATTATATAAATATATTTTTATGATATAAAAAGTATATTTATATTTATTAAATATAAAACTATAAATAAATGTTTAATTGGAGAAATGATGTTAAGCTAAGAAATTTAGGTGCAAACTGTGTGAGATGCGAAAAAAAATCTAATATGCTCTTTGGTAAGCCAAATTTAAAATATCATATGTATTGACATCATTAATCTCAATTTGTTTAAGATATCAGTTCAATACTGTTTAAACTATTAACTTATTAACTTGATAATTACAAACATATTTTAGTTATAAATAATTTGTTGTGAAATTATTTACATTTAAAGGAGGCAATCTTATTTTAAAATAAAAATTAACAAATTAAAATAATTTAAACATTATCAACAAAAATGATTACTTCAGTGTATAAGTAACAATAATGAAATTTCGTGCAGTTGACCTATTCAAATTATAAATGCATTTAAGATGCTTACACAAACGTTATTATAATATTTTTAATAAAATACTGTTTTTAATAATATATATAATAATAATAATAATAATTTTAATTTATAACTATAAAATAAGTATAGTTATTAAAATATAACCGCAGGTGAATTTAGTTTTATAAAATTTTCATGATGTTTAGAATTTGTAAAAAAAAATTCGATATTTTATTTTTATATTTAAAATAATAAAAAAATATCAGAAATATTTGCATGGAAATATAAGAATAAAATTAAAAGATTTATAAAATAAAGGAAACTAAAGTATTGATGTCAACGAAATGGAAGACTAGAATAATGTTTTAGTCGTACCTCAAAACCCCAGATAATATTATGAAGTAGAAAGTATAATAATAAGAATAACAAAAAATAAGAAATGTGGATGTCACATAAAGACTTAGATGACAAGGAGGTGCGTTTACAACCTGTGATTGGCTCCCGAGGTACGTCATCGTACGGACGAGGTTGATGTGTTTCTACCATTGTACTATTTTCTTACTTTTTGACTGTGTTCCCTGGCCCACACTCCATGCACTTCTGCAGCTTCAGCCCCACACTCTCTCACTCTCTCCTTTCAATTTTATTTTCCTTTTTCTAAAATGTTTACAAATATTATTTTTATCAGGTTTTGATGCCCTTCCCCTTTTCAATATTATATTATTCGTTCATTTTAGGGGCATCATTTTAAGATTTTTAGTATTTCCCCATCGGTTGTTCCCCTTTTAACACTAAAATGTTTCTGTTTCGGACCATGGACTTGGTTTTTACCAAATCAAGAAAAGGATGAGGTTTCAATTTTCTATTACCATAGCACATTTGGTTTCTTAATATGGTGGGGCACGGGGAACCAATGGGGGATATAGGTGGATGAATAAGGAAAGCTTGGTCTGATTAGTCTATGTGCTTGCTTCCACTTTTTCTGCGTTTCTCTGCACTTCTTGCTACCTCTCTTTTGGGTGTTTCCTTTCTTTTCTTTCTCTCTCTCTCTCTCTCTCTCACACGCACTCCTCTAGCTTTCTTCCCTTTTCTGTGCCTTATTCTCTCTTCACTGGTCAAAACGTTTCTGGGATTTTGCTAATTCGGTGCAAATCTGATTCCCTTGACAAACCCTCTTCATCTCATGGCTTATTGAGAAACAGCTACTACAATTTCAACTTGTTTTTTCTAGCTGGTAAGAATAATAAATTATCAATCAATCACATAATTTTTTTCGTGTGCTGAAAATCCCATCTCTGGGATATTTGGTTCTTGGTGTATAGATCCTATTTGGGTAGACATGTACATTTACTGTTATTTTGTTGTTTTCTTAAAATCTGCATATCTGGTGTCTTTGGTGAATGGTTATTTCCATGCCCCAGTTTCACTTTTCCCTCTTCGTATCCTCCATCTTGCAAGGTGTGTATAGCATTATTTTTTGCCTTTCTTGGATGTCCTTTTGATGTGTGATTCTCATCTGTTGGAATCTTCTGTGTTTCAGATTTTCTGGAGAAGGCTGAATTTTGGTGGAAACCTCTCGTACAAGAAAACATATTGTTCTATTTGGTTAGGAATCCTTTGAGATACCTTAGTAGTGACTTGGTTCCATTTTCTGTGGAAAAGAAAAGAGTTTTTCTAAAATAGTTCTCGTTTTCCTCTTTTTCTTCATTTCTTTTAGCTGTTGCTGTTTCGCACATCAGAGGTTTAGAGATGGTGAGAGGAAAGACTCAGATGAGGCGCATAGAGAACGCCACTAGCAGGCAAGTTACCTTCTCAAAGCGTCGCAATGGGTTGCTGAAGAAGGCCTTTGAACTTTCTGTTCTTTGTGATGCTGAGGTTGCTCTTATCATTTTCTCTCCAAGAGGAAAGCTTTATGAGTTTGCAAGCTCCAGGTATGTGTATATATGGATCCTCATAACATTGCTTTTTTCTGTCACAAATTTTGCTTTGTGTGATTGCGCTACATATGCTAAATATGGTAGTTTTTTCTCTTAGTGCAAAGGTTCCTTCCAATTTTTTAGCCAGTAGAAATCATTTAGGTATATGTATGCGTTTTTGCTTCGGTTTTTACTCAAGATCTTCATCACAATCATGGAAGTAGGTGGATATGAGATACGGGCAAAGGAGCTATTTGATTGTATAATGCTAACCTTAGAAGTACAGTGGGGTTTGGATAGCACCTATGGAGTTTTAGTTGAGGCTTTTTATTTGATGGTATAAAAAAAAAAAGGCCAAAAAACAAATATAACAACTTGACAAAGAGTAATAATGCAGCGGAAATTCAATCCCCTTCTTGCGAGAATCAGCGAGGAGCACCAAACAAATAGAATCCAAAGCACAAAGAGACACCAACAATTTTAACGTGGAAAACCCCTCAATGCAAGGGTAAAAACCACGAGTCGTCCAGACCAAAGAAAAATCCACTATGATCAATAATGGGGTACACAAGAGTCTCCAATAATAATACCAAAAGGTATTTTCAATAAGCGAGAATTAACTAAGCACAAATGCTTACAAAAGAGAAACAAAGAAGATGAAAAATCTCCAAAACAGGGGCTGCTGGTGCGGGACCAATTTCTCCCAATCTAGACCTTCGATTGACGATCCGAACGGTCAGAATGAAGAACCATATGTCTGGAACCTACTATCCAAAAATCAGCTCGATCCAACGGTGAACGACTTCACAGCGACGAAAACACCGGTGCAGATTTAGGGTTATGCGGAGATGACTTTCTCTCTTTCTTTTTCTCTCACTAGACTTTTTGTCTTTTTTCAAATGACTCTCTTGTCCTCTACTAATCGACCCATCTCATTTTACCCAAATGAGACATAATAGACCACACTATTTGGGCCTATTCTCCACATAGGAAGGGAGCCCAATAACCCGACAAATCTCCCCCTCACGACTATGTGGAGATATCAGCCAAGCCGCGATCTCACAACAAACTTCAAACTTTCCTCTTGGCAATGCCTTGGTCATCATATCGGCACCATTATCATCACGTATGAACTTTAGCTAGTTCCACCAACTTAGCATCCAAAATATCACGTATCCAATGATACCTCACATCAATATGTTTGGATTTAGAATGAAAAGTTGGATTCTTACCAAGATGAATAGTACTTTGGTTGTCACAATACAACAAGTATTTATCTTGCACAAAACCAAGCTCCTGCAAGAATTTCTTCACCCATAACAACTCTTTGCATGCTTCGATAAGTGCAATGAATTACTGCCTCGGTAGTAGACAACGCCACACACTTTTGCAACTTTGATTGCCAAGCCAAAGCTCCCCACGCAAAGCTGAATCAAATAGCACGAAGTGGACTTTACGGAATCAATGTCTCCGGCCATATCCGAATACGAGTAACCCACCAAAGTAGGCTTATCACCTCCAAAACAAAGTCTCAAACCTCTAGTACCACGAAGATACCTCAAAATCCATTTCACGACATTCGATGCTCTGCACTGGATTTGGCGAAATCGCTAAGCTGTACCAACGAGCGTGTGCAATATCGAGGCCTTGTACATACCATTGCATACATCAAACTACCCACTGCAGAAGCATAAGGAACTTTTCTCATAGCTATCTTCTCAACTTCATTTGAAGGACTTTGTTTAACACTCGACTTAAAATGAGTAGCAAGAGGAGTACTTACAACCTTAGCATTCTCCATTTGGAATCTTTGCAACACCTTCGAATGTAGTGCTCTGTGATAGCCAAAGTTTCTTCTCTTTTCTATCACGAGTGATACTTATACCAAGAATCTTCTTAGCGGCTCCCATGTCTTTCATGGCAAATGACTTGCCCGATTGCTTCTTCAACTCGTCAATTTTGGAAACATCTTTTCCAACAATAAGCATGTCATCGACATATAACAACGGGATAATGAAATCATTCTCGAGAAAATTTCCGACAAAAACACAATGGTCGAAGTAGTCTTCTTGTAGCCTTGCTCACACATAACGGACTCAAACTTCTTATACCACTTGCCTTGGAGCTTGCTTCAAACCATATAGGCTTTTTCGTAGCCTACACACATAGTCTTCCTTGCCTTCGACAAGAAAACCATCCGGTTGCTTCATGTAAATCTCTTCCTCCAAATCACCATGAAGGAAGAGTTTGTCTTCACATCCATCTGCTCAACTTCCAAATCAAGAGTAGCGACTAAACTTAACACGAGTTCGGATAGATGTCATCCTCACCACAGGTGAGAAAATCTCATTGAAGTCAACACCCTTTCTTTGTCTAAAGCCTTTCACCACTAATCGGCTTTATATCCGGTAGATGTAGAATTGCTCTCTTGCTTCACCACGAAGATCCACCTGTTCTCTAAGGCTCTCTTACCCTTAGGCAACTTCACCAAGTCATAAGTGTGATTATCATGCGGCGATTTCATCTCATCCTGCATTGCATCCAACCACTTTTGCTTTTCTTCACTTTCAACGGCCTCCTCATAACATTCGGGTTCTCCTTCATCGATCAACATCACATACTCATTGGTAGAGTACTTCTTAGAAGGTTGTCTTGGCTCTGTCGGATCTTCTAGGTTGAGTTTCGGGTAGCTTCGGGTATATCACCAAGACTCTCATCATGTGATACATCATGTTCCTCTTCATCGACATTATCAATAGGAACATCCAAGCTATCTTCAACCTGTTGATTATCGGTATCACCATGTTGTTCATCATCATGAGCATCAATATCCAAATCATTAATAGACAACAGAATTGGATCAACATCATCCACATTACCATTTCCTTTAGGTGTAGACTTCTTCTCCTTATCAATATCTTCAATGGTTTGATCTTCCATGAATTGCACATCACGACTTCTAACAACTTTCTTTTCAACGGGGTCATACAACTTGTAGCCAAATTCATCCGACCAAAACCAATAAAGATGCATTGCCTTGTCTTCATATCCAACTTGGATCTTTCATCCTTCGAACATGAACAAATGCTTTACAACCGAAGACACGTAAATGATCATAAGTAACATTCTTGCCAAACCAAATCTTGTGCGGCACCTCGAGTTCAAAGCAAGCTGCAGGACTTAGATTAATAACATGCACTTGCTGTAAACAATGCCTCACCCCGAAATGCTTAGGCAATTTTGCTTGAGAAAGCATACACCTAACTCTTTCAATCAATGTCCTGTTCATCCTCTCCGCTAAACCATTCGAGTGAGGAGTTTTAGGAGGAGTCTTCTCATGTGCAATACCATATTGTCTACAATAAGCATCAAATGGTCCACAATACTCACCACCATTGTCGGTACGAATGCGTTTCAGCTTCTTGCTCGACTGCCTCTCAACCAAAACATGGAATTCTTTAAACTTGTCCAACACTTGGTCCTTTCTCTCGTAGTACATAAACCCAAAGCTTCCTGGAACAATCATCAATAAAGGTAACAAAGTAAAGTGCACCACTAAAAGACTTTACCTTCAATGGGCCACAAACATCGAGAATGCACCAATTCAAGCAACTCGACTTCCTGGAGGGAGGATGCTTCTTGAAGGATACTCCGGTTTGTTTACCGACCATGCAATGAGAACATTTCTCCAAATCTACATTCTTCAATCTTGAGAGAACATCCTTTTTAAATAAGCGAGTTAAGCCCCTTTTCAGCGATGTGCCCAAGCCTTACGTGCCACAAAGATGACTCCATATACACGGAATTCACACTATCTTTAGCAACCAAAGCTTTTGTCGAGTAAAGCTTAGAGTTTTTCTCCCCTTTAGCCACAATCAAGTTACCTTTGGTGAGCTTCCACTTTCCAGAACCAAAATGGTTATAATATCCACCATCATCAAGTACACGCACGAGAGATCAAGTTAAAGCGAACATCCGGAGCATGTTTAACTCCTCTAAGCAACAATCTGCATCCCCATGTTGGTTTGCAAGTGAACATCACCAACACCAACAACTTTAGACACCCCATCATTACCCATCTTCAATACTCCAAAATCACCAGGTGTATAAGATGTGAAGAACTCCTTCCTGGATGTAACATGCGGTGTAGCACCACTATCAATTATCCACATGCTCTCATCGGATACAAGACTAATAGTGTCATAATCACGAAGACAAACAAGGTCACCACATGTAGTAGTAGTAACACGATCACCATCATCATTATCTTTTTCTCTTTGCTTACCCTTTTTGTCTTTGCTCTCTTTCTTCCACAAAAAGCAGTTTTTCTTTATATGTCTTGTTTTGTGACAATAGTGACACTCCACATTCTTGTACTGAGACTTGGACTTGCTCTGCTTTTATCTCTACCCTTGTTTTGTTCTTTCTTTTGGTTTCTCCCCCTATTCTCTCGTAATAAGCACTTCGAATGAGATGAAGTACCCTGTGTCTTCCTTCTCATCTCCTCATTAAGAGCACCACTCTTTGCCATTTGCAAAGAAATATCACCATTAGGGGTAGCACTTATCATGGAAACCCGAAATGTCTCCCACGAATCCGGTAAAGAGTTTAATAGGAATAAGCCCAATAGATCATCATCAAATTTTATACCCACTCCGACTAATTGATCATAGCGTCCTTGAAATTCACTCAAGTGATTTGAAACATGAGTTCCTTCCTTGTACTTCAACTCCACAAAATTTTTCGGCAAGTACAATTTATTAGTCCCTGACTTAGAAGCATACAAGGACTCAAGCTTATCCCATAGGCTTCTCGCATGTGTCTCATTAGCAACAAAATTATAAACATTATCATCAACAAAGCTGCTCGATAAATCCACATACCTGTTGATGTTCAAAATCCCATTCTTCATCGACTTGGATTACGGCTTATTGGAAGCAAAAACAGGAAGATGCAAATTTTTCACAAATAACAAATCCTTCATCTTGCCTTTCCATAAGTGATAATTTTCTCCATTCAACGGAATCAATTTTGTATGTGCCTCCATCATTCACGCAAATTAAACGAGTCCCTTAACCTAAGAGCTCGATGCCACTCGATGGTATAAAAAAAAAAAGGCCAAAAAACAAATATAACAACTTGACAAAGAGTAATAATGCAGCGGAAATTCAATCCCCCTTCTTGCGAGAAACAGCGAGGAGCACCAAACAAATAGAATCCAAAGCACAAAGAGACACCAACAATTTTAACGTGGAAAACCCCTCAATGCAAGGGTAAAAACCACGAGTCGTCCGGACCAAAGAAAAATCCACTATGATCAATAATGGGGTACACAAG